TCCTCAGCTCCCCAGATTGCCTGATTCCTTCTGTTCCCACTGCTGTTGTAGGGTGGGCAGACCCTGGGCAGCAAGAGAACCAGCTGGCCAATCCCTCATCATATAACAAGTAGTACCATCATTTTGGAGAAAGGTGACCGTTTGCGTGGGCTTCTGCATAGGGTGGCTGCCGATGGACTTCCTAAGCAGAAAGCAAACAGGTGTGATTGCTCTAGCATCTGACCTGGGTGCTTTTGAGCACTGCCATCCAGCTCACTGGTTTTCTAGAGAGGAGGATCGCCTTTCAGTTAAGAAGAAGAAGAAATTGCATACCATTCCACCTTGCTAGAAAGTCTTTCCTGCCAACATTTAGAGGCAGAATCTAGGAAACGTCAACAACTGACAAACCTTGTATTTCCCAGAAGTAGCCTCCACTGGAAGGTAGCAAACTCCTGTTGAAACAAAAGGGTGAGTTTCCAAAGCAGTTTATAATATACAGGTAGTCCTTGATTTACAACCACCATGGTTCTGAAATGACCCTTGCAAAGGTTTTACGTAGCTCTAAAACCCAGGATTTAGGGCACATTTAAAGTAACTTAATCTAATACGTAGTTATTCCCATAAGAAACAAATTATGTCTTTTTGCAATTGCAAATCTGAGGTTTTAGTCTCCCAAATGCATTTGTGTTTGTTGTGTGCACATGACTATTTGACATCTGAAAAAGATGAATATTTTTCCTGAAGTCATCTTGCCTATGGACCTGTTTTGAACTGCTCTGAGATGGAAACTAGGATCCTTGATGGCCTCCCTTTTATTTAAAATAGTAATCTAGTCTGGACAAAGTTTAATATTGTTGGCAAGGATTTTGGTGGAAGTTCACATGGTGCACAGCTGAACTCTAGCATTTTGCTCTGTGGTGTTTCTTGGGTTGTAGCGCTGCCAGTTTTAACTCTTCCAGGCCATCGTTCACATTTTCCTTTATAGAGGCTTTCAGCGCACTGCTTTTCTGTTGTGTGTGTGAGACGTGAACAAATCTCTTTAATTGTCCTGTCCTGTTTCATATGCATATAGACAGCTGAAGGACAAATACCCTAAAAGCACTTAAATTTTCTGTATTTCAGTTAAACGCATGTTAAAATAGAATTTGTTTGCCTCAAGCCAAGAATGCGCTGCTTTGATTTTTTCCCCCCTTATACTATCTATTCCAATGACTGAGCAGTTTGATTGATTCAATGATCGTTTCATCCTGGACAGCCCTTTTGAAGAGGGCTGCTATTAGTGACATTAAAAAAAAAAAATCCCGATAGATCTAAATGAATTAATTTGCAAATTATGATGCCTTTTTCATTCCTGGAAAAGATGTATCTGTAGAAGTGAACAGCATATGCAATTAATAAAAATGACTTAGTGTGCAATCATAGAGATAATATGTATTATGGAAAGTTTCTATCTTGGTTTATACTTGTTACTGAAGATATTTCAGAAGCCAACCTCAATGTTTCTTGCATTTACTGCATAGCATGCTGTTTCTCTCATGCATCGTAAACTTTAGTAACTGTGCAACTTTATATCTACAGCACAATACAATATCTTCATTTCAGTCTTGGACTGGCAATAATGTAAAAACTAGAGCCTATGGGATTAACAGCCATGATCGTAAAACAGTCTCTTTTCTAAAGATTGTAAGGACAGTAACTGAGTTAGAAGATGGGGCAGTAGGAGTTGTAAGTGAAATCAAAATCTGCACTGTGTTTTCTAAAAAAATGAATGGCGACAGCAAAAACGGTTAGCCTGGGAAACTAATACAGCAGGACAGACATGAGTGATGTTGAGTATGGTTGGCTATAACTGGCAGAAATTACCTGAACATTATATGTTATCTTTCTCTCTTATCAATCCATCCATCCATCCATCCATCCATCCATCCATCCGGTTTATAAACTGTTTCAATTGTAATCAACTCAATTGTTTGGTGACATATACTCTGTCCATCACAAGGTTTAAAACACTACATTAACAATACTTAATCTTTAAACCTCATACCCTGAGAAACGCTCTGCAGCATAGACAGTCTCAAGCTACAGGGGGACTGTATCTATTTCAATCTCCAAAGGCTTCCGGGAAGGTCTTAACAGCCTTCCCAAATTCCACAAGGATTGGAGATGTTCTAATCAGGGAAGGAGGGTGGGATGCTGTTCCAGAGGAGAGGAGTAGTTATCAGGGATGAGTCAGAGAGCAGCAAAGAGATGTTAAATTGGTCTGAACTGCCTGGTAACCTGGTGAGTAGTGGAAGAATAACAGTTCTGTGGAGGTCTTCAAATGGGGAGAAGAGGAGGATATACTCGGTGATTTTGATTTGCCTTGTGTTTCAGAGTCACAGCTTGGTCCTAATATAGCCAAGAGAGGGTGGGGTTGCAGGGGGCCAGAGCAGAGGCCCTTCTCTTAGGGTCTTCTAGCTGCATAAGAATGGAGCTGGTTGTGAGATTTGCCCCGTTCGACAGAGAAACTCTCGTGACACGTGTGGTTCACAAAGAAGGTCTACTCGAGCGTAACGTA